TCAGAATGTTCTAGAATTTTTATTTTTAAAATTTCGATTGAAGAGTGAACATTTCTGAGAAATAGAAAAAAGACGGCCATTTTGAATAAAAAAGACGAAAAAAGAGAACGACGCCAAATATTGTGGAAAACAGTCGTACCCGAGACAGAAAATTACGAAGCCTCTTATCGTGGCAATAACATACGATAAGAACCTTAGCGACGGAAATTGGTGGAGAAGGAGGCTTCAGTGGGGGAAGAAATATACCACGGAGCCCTCCCGGGACACGAATTTTAAGAGATAAGAGTGTTATCTCAAGAATATTACGGGAGCGGAGGCTTGGTCCCCCAGAGACTGTCTATGTGAAGGGACTGTATAGACTGACTGTATAGCTGCTATAATGTCATAGATCTTAATTAACACCGTTATTATTTAATATTTCAGAGCATGAGTAGCTAGAAAAAGGAAAGGGTCAATCCATCTCTAATGGATTTAATATAGAACTGTCACACAAAAACATAATAAAATAGGTTGTTCGAGCCGTGTTTTTAATGACAATCACGTAGTCTGAGGATCCGAGACTCAGCTATGTGGTTGTGTTCGCATGTAAACGAAAGCTGATCAAAAGTCGTTTGACTGATGGCCTAAAAATGGTAACTTTTTACTTTGCCCTAGACAGACCAGAAAATCAACTGGCAAGGTCGAGACGGTGAAAAACGAGTAGAATTAAGGTAACTGACGCCTGCCAGTCGTTAATAGGTACTTTTTCTACGCTCCGTCGCTGTGTGATATTTGGGCGAATGTTACATTATTTGCAGTCGATGCAAAACTATACAGAGAAGTTACCAGTGACAAAGACGTTGAATTGCCACAAGAAGATCTAAGAAAACTTGAAGAATGGTCAAAAGTTAATCTTTTGCATTTTAATAAAGATAAACATGTACACATGATAATCTCAAATGGAAGATCAAATCGTGAAATAAAATCATATGAATTTTACGATAAACAGCTTGAAACAGTAGGAGACGAAAAAGACCTTGGAGTGATCATCGATAGTAAACTCTCCTTTGACTCTCATATCTTTGCGAAAATTAAAAAGGCGAATTCTATCATTGCAGTTTTTACGAAAACGTTCATTAAAATTACTATACCTGTGTTTTTAAATGTTAAAGCCTCGTAAGGCCTCATTTGGAGTTCTGTAATCAAGCCTGAAACCCGCGATTGAAGAAGAACACAAGATTAAACGAAAATGTGCAACGACGAGCGACACGACTTATTTAAGGGCTGCAGACACTAAGCTACAAGGAAAGGTTAAAGAAACTAGAACAACCGTCATTTGAATACCGCAGAAGGCCAGAAACATTGATCGAAGTGTTCAAAATAGGTTACGACCGTTATGACCCAAAAGCTACGAAAGACATTTTCGAATTGAGTAATCGTGATACAAGGACAAATGACAAAAAAGTGATAACGAAGTCCAACTTCGAATTGCGGAATGCGGAAAAACTTTTTTACTATTAGATCACCTACAGATTGGAACATGTTTGCAGGAAAAGTAATTGACTCGAAGACCTTGAACGCTTTCAAGAACAACCTGGACACATACTGGAAGAAAAGCGGAATTAATAAGTTTGAGACGAATTAATCGAAAAGGAGTGCATAATGAGCTGATCGATAGAGGCGACAAAACGCCTAAAAGATCAGAAAAATAACTGAACTGAACTGTATAAAGAAATAACGGACAATTTATAGAAAACTCGTTTTTTAAACGATCAGTAATGATATGGAATAAAAATATAGAAGTTTGTACGGTTTAGACTATTTAAAATTCTTTTAAAAAGTTCAAGTATCTGTACATAGACTGAAGTTTCTGAGAAAATGTCTGAAAAACGATCTAATACCGGACTTTTTGAAGTTTAGGGTCCCCGAGAACGGGGTTTTTTCGGACCAAGCTGTGCATAATTTTCAATTGAAACTACTAAGGACTGAAACTTCTAGGGCAAATGAGGATAGGAAAAGGTACGAGGAGATGCTAAGGAAAGCAAGATCACTGGTGCAAAAAGAAATTGACAAACAGTGGTGGGCATCCATTTTCCGATTTGTGAGGCGTCAAGTTGAGGCAAGCTTAAAGACAACATCAGAAAACCATAGAAAAAAGGTAGAAAAACTGTCCGAGAGACAAGATAAACCTCTTGGGGGGAGAAATGAGCAATCAGTTAAGGTACTTGATAATATTGAACTGCCTGAATGGGTATATGAAGTGCTATCAATGGGCCCCAAGCATCCAATTAGAGACAAATTTAACGAAACACATTTTTTGGCGGATATCGACATTTTCCTCTCACAATTGAAAAATCAAAAAACATCTGGTGAAACTTTATGTGAAATAGAAGCCGCGGCAAAGGCATATGCAAAAAACGTACGGCAAACCCCAAGAGACAAAGCCGTTGAAAAAACGAGGAAATATCTCAAAGATAATGGGTTGCTGGCTGTGCCTTTTGATAAGGGGGTTGGTTTTTGCATAATGAGGAAACAAACATATGAATCAAAGCTGGAATCCTTGTTGCAATCGGCTCAGTTTGTGAAAAAAGATGCAACCACTGATGAGGTCATACTGAAAATTGAGAAAAAACTTAACAAAGAATTACTAGCCATGAATAAAAGAGACGAGATAAGTGATCAGTTATATTCTAAGATGAGATCAACAGGGGGGCAACCCGCCCGTTTGTACGGTTTAGCTAAGGTACACAAGGATGAGACACCCCTACGACCTGTACTATCACTTCCAGGCAGCTCGTATGAGAATCTTAACAAAATGCTTGCAAAGTTTTTTTGACAACATCGATGGAGCAAATATAGAAACCAATACTAAAGAGGCTAGAGAAAAAATAGAAAACATTGCTCTAGATCCGGATGAAACCATAATATCTCTTGATGTGAAAAGTTTGTACACCAACGTACCCCTGAAGGAGGCAATTGAAATTGCTTTACAGAAGCTGTACAGCCAGGAGTCTCCTCCTGAAATTCAAAGAGCAACCATGAAAAGGATTTTGAATATGGCGGTCAGCAAAGTATATTTCAAGTGTAATGATTCATGGTATGTACAAGTTGATGGTTTAGCAATGGGCGCGTCCCTCGCTGTAATTCTGGCAAACTTATGGCTGAAAGAATACGAATTTGCTCTACGACAACAAATACCGGTGGGAACGGGGGTACAGCAAATTAATGACAAAAACGGCTTGTGCCCATGTTGCAGCAGGAAAGTCACGTATAGATCAAAGGGGGTTGAATGCGAAAGTTGCCGAAACTGGTATCATCTAAAATGCGGAAAAATATCCGATGACGTATACGCATCAATAACCGAGATAGTCTGGTACTGTGAAAGCTGCTGCCGAGCTAAGAACAAGGAGAAGGATACTCCCCAGGTGAAATTGTTCCTCAAGTATGTGGATGACATTGTTAGAACAGTCAGAGGGGAGCCGAGTTGTCTTCTCGATGCCGCCAATTCTCTTCATCCCAATTTGCAGTTCACTCTAGAGAAAACTAATTCGGAGGTGAATTTGCCGTTCCTGGATTTGAACATAAATGTATCGCAGGATAGGCGTGTAACTTGCAGTTGGTATCAAAAACCAACAGATACAGGAACTATACTGAACTATAGAAGCTGCGCCCCAACTCAGTATAAGCGTAGTGTTATCCAAGGCACTGTACACAGGGTTTTTAGGAGTACATCTAGCTGGGAGCAATTTGATAAGGCTATGGAAACTAATAGGGCGCAATGGCTGACAAATCAGTACCCTGAAAATTGGTCCGCAAAGGTGGCTTCAGACGCCTTGTGCAAGATCATCGAGGGTAAAGGCAAGCCCTTGGATAGTGACAGGGGTTTGTCAGTTCAATCACCAAAGGATGATAAGCCCCCAATGCTGATGGTGCAATATAGAGGTAACCAGAGCCAATATTTTGCTAACAGGTTACGAAAATTAACGAACGTTCAAGTGGTTTTCACCACAAGAAAACTACAATCATGTTTACCATCACTGAAGTCAGCCTTTTCTAATGACCTCAAGTCAAGAGTGGTTTATAAACTGTCATGTAGTGGATGCACTTCCACCTATGTCGGACAAACTGTTCGACATTTGACCACTAGAATTGAGGAACATAAGAAAGCAGACTGACCGGTAGGCCTCCACCTTCAGCAATGCCAACTTGAGGGAAATAGCGCAGATCTTAGTTGGGAAATTATAGATAGGTCAAACAACCAAACAAAATTGCTAACACTAGAGGCAATACATATCAGGAAAGAGAAACCGGGCTTGAACACGCGCGATGAGTTTAGGAGCAGGGAGTTAACACTGAAAATTTAGTCCCAAAATATTTTTGGTTTTTTATTCAAAACGTACATGTCTAAATCGAAATTATGACTCAGAAACTTCCAGACAAATTAATTTTAAAATGTTTAATTAATTTTAGAGGTTAAAAGTATTTTAATCTTAATAGTAATTTAGAGGTCAACTGTGATTGGCTAATTTTTTATCATGATGGTTTAGAACCAAATTTCATGTGATTTATTGTAAATAACATTTGTAAATTGATGTTTTATCGTCATTTAGAGTAGTTTATTGTAAAAATCCTGACGATGCACATAGTTGCGAAAACGTTTGAAATTTACTTTTTAGCAAAAATTTAGATGTCAAAGTTAACTTATGGGTATACTAATATACAAACAAGCGAAGATCAAATTTAAAAATTACTTTTTATTATTGCTTAAGGAAGATCCATCAGTGGAACCTATGGTAAATTATCATGGAAAAGTTTCATGGAAGAAGTTCATTTAGGGAAAAACAGTAGCTCCCTTTGTCATATTTTTGATTTATATTATACATATTTAAATTATACCTTGTTATTAATGTAAACTTAATTCACTTAATTTTCATCAATATCTGACATACACTTGCACATTGACATTCATTTCATTTTGCAATTTAAGTGTTTGATTTAAAAAAAATTTCTACTTCAGATTATGTTTGAGTCATGATTTTGTTACAAAATAATGAGCGGGAGCCCTATACCGACTCATTTGCAACTGAAAACAATGATTCGGAAACTATACACATGGTCGATGTCAATGGATGTAAAAAGAATTCGATTAATTTTCAAATAACAGGTGCTGATCAAATAAGCTCCACTGACAAAAATAAAACCAGTTGCTTTGACCCAACCCTTGGTAATGAAATTATATCCAATGAGTTCAAAAGCTGCAGTGGAAAAATGCATCTCAACAGTACGTCAAAAGGTCCTTTCCGGCCATCAGTTTCTGCTGATTCTTCATTATTTCCTGCTACAATTGGTGCTGTAGTTTGGGCAAAATTGAAAGAGTTTCCGTGGTGGCCTTGCATCGTTGTTAAAGACTCCTCTTGTGGTGATGAATTTATCGGCAATAATATGAAGAGTAAAAATAATGAGAATGTAGTTATAGTAAGAAGTAATTATTGCGTAGTTTCAACCCTGGGCACGTATTGCTCTGAGCATTCAATTCATAATGACCACGTACAACATTATCACTCTGCAATGGATTACAACATATTGAATCAAGAGACCCGATTACTGAGAAATTGTATTGCGCCGAATAAAACTGACAAGAGTCAGATGTCGCCTAAGAAGATGCGCCAAGCTTGGAAAAGAGCTATTTTAGATGCCAATGAATTAAAAAGTGTCCTTAACGTTGAAAATCGACTCAATCTTTTTTTCACTCGGTTTCCGAACAGAAAGTATCTACTGCCTGAAGTGTTAGTTAGAACCTTACATTTTGAGCGAAAACCAGATGTCCCATTAGTTTGGAGAAGCTTTGCACAGTTATCCGATGAACCAAGCTCTTTGCATCTTGCAATCCAGAATTCACGAAAAAGAAAACTCGCTTCTAATAGTAAAATTAATGGACGCAGGGAAGATTTTTTGCATGAGATATTGAGTGGGAGTCATATGAACTTTGATACGGATTCAAGCAGCGAAAGTGGATCGGTGGACGGGAGAAAAGCGAAGCAGAAAATGAAATCCTTCTCAGCGGAGCTGGCTCCTTTTAAAGTCACTTCAACTCTAGAAGCGTTAAACAAAAATCCTTCTCTTAAAGACTATTCAAAAAGTCTTTCCAATCCACAGGCAGCTAGAGGTCGACCACTCAAGCTGGCAAGTAAGAGAACGCTTGAATCTACAATTGAATTTACAAAAGATAGCGAGAAATTGGATGCATATTTTTCACCTGTGGACTGGAGCTCAATTTTGTCTAATGTGGCTTTTTTCAAAAATAGTGTTTGTGTGGTGTGTGAGTTGGCGGGAGAATTGCTTTTGTGTCGCGTTTGTGTTTTGTTTTATCATCGAAACTGTTATCAGTATCTCTACAATGATGACGAATGTCCAGAAAACGCTGCAGAATTTACATGTAAAGAGTGCAGGAATGGAGAAGTGTTTTGTTTTGCGTGTATGGAGGAAATTGAAGCGCCAAGAAATGACGAATCCGTTTTGTTTTGTTCCAGTGATGAGCACTTACAAGTTAATAAAAATTATTCGTATTATTTGTTGCTAAAATAGTGACATTGAATTGGGAGTCTTCAAGTATTGGGAGGCTTCAAGAGTTTTTAAGCATTTACATAATAGGTCTTTTTTGCCCCAGAAAGTACCCATATTTGTAGCAGTAACGAAAGGTTTCAATTAGATTTTTGTTCTTTACCCTGTCGATATGCAAGGGTATTGCAATTGGGTACTAGACTTTTCTCACAGTTCATCTCCTGAACTCATTCGTCCACTGGGCCTTTCTGTTTCAACAGACGTATTTTGAGAATGTTAGCATTTAAAATATCCGGCCAAATTTAATTTCTTTTTATGGTGGTTATAATTTTACCAACTCGTTTTGTTAGTTTCAACTTTTTTTATTGTTATTGTCTTAATATATTTGCGTGTGTGTATTCTGAGGGGAAGGGGGCTTCAATTATTTTAAATTTGTTTAGAATGTTTTTGAGTTTTTTCGGCATGAAGTGTTTCTGCTCAGGTATTTTTGGCTTTGTTACCGCTTGGTAATTATAAATTCAAATTGCACCAACCATGCGGTGCATCTGGCGTAGAAATAACATAACTGCTTGAGACGGCGTTTTGATTCCAGTCGAGACCTTTTTTTTACAAATTGTGAAATTTTTCGACAAGCTCAAATTGTTGTCTGTCTGCTTAAATTTGTCAGCTTAGTCCAACAGAAAGGACTTTTGGAGTTTTAGAGACGGTTTCTCTTTAGCATTCCGGAAGCTCTTTGTAAAGCTTCTAATGGTGCAAGAATTTTTTTCCTGATTATTTGGCTTTTTTGCAATTTTTATTGACTAAAATGTTTTTTTTTCTCTTTTTTTTGTTTGGTTTTTCAATGACATTAATTCATTTTTGTATTGCAAGTAACGCCAAGCTCAGCTTCGTCTCTTCGTTGTTTTTTTTGAAATTCTGCGCTCAGAATCACAAACAAAAAAGTTTTTCAATCAGATCACTTTTAATGTCAAAGAATTTCATTATTCATGATTGAAGCGCTTACCGAAGTTTTAAAACCGAGTTTAGCTCCCCCTGCTATTGGCCTACTCGCTCTAAATTGGACAAAAAACTAGATTTTTTTTCGTTTTTTGTGGTAACTGATTAAAAGTCGATGAACATAGCTCAGACTCTTATACAGGTCGTGATGATTTACTTTTTCGCGGCTTGACTTTTGATATCTTTTTAATTTTTGTTCATTTCCTGTGAATAAAAGAAAAAAACTCCAGTATCGAACAGCTGAAGTGTAAAAGTCACGAAAAACGTGATCGACTTCTAATTTCCGAAATAGAATTTAATTGTCAGATTACTCAGAGAAATAAAAATTTTAAATAATGATGCAGTTTTCTCAAATTGGGTTGATTTCATCAAAAAAGTGTCAAGCATAAAGGCTCTTTTCCAGTTCCCCCCCCCCTTTCAAATTTAATTTTGAAAAGCTTATTTAACGTTGTCATAATGCAATGAAATTTGGCGTGGTGAACAAATCGACAACTGTGAACAGATTTGTTCTTCATACTTTACAGCGTAACATCACGTATTCAGCCGTAATAACACGTAATTCAAACATAAAACTCGGTATTTTAAAAGGGGGGAACTGGAAAAGAGCCAGCATAAATTGTTCTAGAAATTCAAAAAGCTTCTATTTTGTTTGAAAAATGAAAGTTGAGATTTTTTCAAAAAAAAAAACAAGTCAGTATTGGCTCTTTTTCCTTTTCCCCCCCACCTGCAAATTTTTATATTTGAAGTTACCGTTCACTTTGTCCGATTGTCGTGAAAATTGTACATGCAGACCAATTAGGCCATAACAAGCATATTTGGTCTTCATAATTAACCTTGTAAAACCACTCGTTAGACCATAAAATTCATGTTTGAGTGAGGTGGGGGGAAAAGGAAAAAGAGCCTCAGTATTTTTTGTTTACCTGCTTTCATTGATTCTTTTCCAATGAATAAGTTGCTCTGCCAACCTTTTAATCGGAATAAATTTTGTTGCCTCTTTTTGGGCTACGGAATTAGCATTTATTAAAACTGCAAGAAATTGTGACCATAAATCACGTAAATTGATAAATTATATAGACTCATCACTGGTTTTTCCAGTAAAACTGTGCCGAAAATACTATCACAGAAACTGTGCAGAGAAATTCAAGGTGCGCTTAGACAGCGACCAGGAATCGGAGAATCAGTTGAACAATTTGAGCCTCTCTTCATCCGAGTGCAGTAGTAGTACTAGTGAGGGTGTTGGGAAGAACGAGTTTGTGTGTCCACAGCATGTCTGTGCGACATGTTATGTGGCAGATCCTCATGACCTTAACTACTCAAAAGGAAAATTTATCAAATGTCATAGGTGAGAGAAAGGCTGATGGCCGTATGTGCTAATGTGTTAACTTGTTCACTCGAAGCTTTAATAGATTCTCTTTTTTCAAACCAATATGAAATCGTGATTATTTTTGTTCTTTAAAAGCCGAACTGAATAAAATAAAAATTTACATACCACACATGTTTTTAGGATAACATTGGTAGTTTAAAAATAGTATCAGGTTTTTTGAAAAAACATGTCACCCGAGGAAACCGTTCTAGCTGATTTCAAAACTTAAGCGGTTATTTCAAAACTTTTACTGTCGTAGGTGTCCCCTTGCATATCACTCTCAAAATGACGAAGCATGTATCCCAGCCGGGTCCAACATAGTGTCTTCAGCCCATCTGGTGTGTCCCCTGCACTTCAGAATGCCCCAGAAGAACATCAATGTAAACTGGTGCTTCTTCTGCTCAGAAGGAGGACAGCTAGTCTGCTGCGAATTCTGTCCCGCCGCTTTCCACAGGTACTGGACAGTTGTCATTGTAGCAAATGCTCAAATAATAAACTCGTTTCCTAGTGTTTTATAGTTAGTACACTTGGGAGGACGTCAAAAGGCAGTGAGCTTGTCAAGGACGCCTCAAATCACTTTTAACAAATCTCATGAGCACAAAAAATTTAACTCGTAATTTACCCGATAAAATAAAAATCTTTTACCCGTGTACCTTGTTTTTCTTAGAAGCTGTTTGCCCAAGAGTGAAATTATCCATGATCAGAAACACTGGCTCTGTGAAAATTGCAGGTGTGGAAGTTTCCCCAAATATGGAGACGTTGTCTGGGCAAAGCTGGCCCAATTTCGATTTTGGCCAGCTCAAGTCGTACATCCTTGGTTGATTCCGGAAAATGTGATGCGGGCATCAAGCAGTATAGGTACGTTTGCAACAAGGTTATACTTTCAAATGAGACAAGCACGAATATGTTTCAGTACAAACGGGCCGATATTATCTTCAATTTGTCTGCACGGAGCAAATGGTAACCAATTCAAGTTCTATCGGTTTTGATATTCAGGAGAATACGTGGTATACTTCTTCGGAACCTACAACTACTCGTGGCTGCCTGGGCACCGAGTGTTCCTTTACGAGCAAGACGACGACAAATCGAGACAAAATCAGTCTGGTCCTAATGGTCTGCAGAAAGGATACAACAGAGGCGTTCAGGAGGCCGCAATTGCCTATAGGTAGGTAGGAAGTTATAAATCATATTCGAGTAAAAATGGAGTGATCCAACAATTCTCCCATTAAACAATTTTTCTTACATATTTTGTCGTTATTTGCCCCAACAGGGCATTTAATGTGAGCTTGACCCGAGTCCAAAAATACTCACCACTTCAATCGCCCGATGCCACATTTGATGGGGTTGTTCGGTCCAGTTTATGGGGCAATTAAAAAAGTGAAGGGTAACCGTCAGACTAACATCTTTTAGTCACTACTAGTTGAAGTGACTGGGCAAGTGCTGATCAAATAGAAATTATTTTTGAACATACTTAGAATTTGAATTCCCGTCTTAATGAAACAAGCTAGCTTTTGAGCGTAGTTTTATTATACGAAATCCACTTTTTTTTCCAACACAATTCACAAAAGTGCTCATTTGCGGTGGCACTGTTGCAGTTAAGGCATTATGTCTGGTTTACTTTTGCTGCTTAGCATTTTATATTTGTTGCTGGCTGATTGGTGGCTATTATTTATACAACCAAAGCTTGTATGATAGTATGAACTCTCTTTTTTCCAACCCATGTCGCAAATATTGTTGCGACAAAATGTGTTAATTTTGAAAGTGTTCATTTTGATCAATAACCAGCTATTAATTACAGCCAATTGTTTCTCGGGTGCTACCAGGAGAACAGCTGACCACCACACTGTTAACTACAAAGGTTTTAATCGGAACATCAGAACAACCCTCGAACGTAAGTTCAAACCTGACATTGAACATTTGCTAAACAAAAACCGGGAGAACATCTCAAAGCTTGAATATGTTAACGGGATCAAAAACCTTCACACAACAGAAGTACAAAACTTTCTTAACGAAAATTCTATGCTACTTGACTACTTATTCCAACTACCACCACAGGCTTAACAACAATATACCCGATGTCTGCCCAAGTTGCTACATAGGACCACACATCACCGATCATCTGTTTAACTGCCGGGTACACCCAACCTCACTTACCATCGAGAGCTTATGGGAGAATCCCGAAGAAGCTGCCAAACATCTGCAGCTTATCACATAACCCCACGTAACGGGAGTTTCTCTCGGTCCTCCCCACTAACTAAAAACTGCCACTTGAACCGGGCATGGAGTTTCACTCGGTTCTCCGCACGCCGAAAAACTTGGCCCCTAGAACGGGTTTCAATAGCACACCGAAACCTCCCTCTTGAATGTGCTATATCGGGAAGGTGCCGACACAGCACAGAGACGCTATCACTGGCACTGGAAAAGGTGGTTCACCTTTTACGTCGTTTTTGCCGCTAGAGGCCCTGGGGGAGCTGCAGTGATAGATTGAACAAGCGAAACCAACATGACCAAAATGTCCCTAGCTCTCTCTCGATCTCTCAAACAGAAACAATCTCTCTATTTCAATCAGAAGCTCGCAGCAGAGATGGATGTAGCTACAACAAAAACAACAAGTACAGCCAATGCTAAGGATATTAATACAGACTATTATATTACAAATAGCACTTTAGCTTCAAGGTATCATGGATCTGTACCGTAGAGGTAGAGACCCGCAACACAATAAGAGGTTACGAACCTGAGCAGGGTCCGATTTTTTTTAATGAACTTTATTGTATACTAGTTAAAACGCGTCTACTCTAAAAATTGAGGCATGTTAGTTGGTAACTTTCTTTTTTTTCAAATTGACTGGTACTGCTAATGCGTCTTTTTGATATGCTTTTTGCCATTTTTTTAGGTCCTGTGTTCTCTAAAACGTAAATTTTGCGGCGCGACTAACAATTTTTGTGTGTCTGTTAATTTTTTGGCTTAGTTGCCACAGCACGGAAGTTGCATATGATTCAATTATTTTTGTGTTATAATTACGCCCTTCGCTTTCGGATTTTTTCCGCTCATTTTTTCAGCTGCCAACACATCATAGCCCTAGAATTTTGCACGTTTAATCGTATATTGCAATGGTTAAGATTTTTTTCGATTTTCCATTTTCAATTCAGTGTTTATTTCACCAAGTTAAAATAAGCAAGCCAATAGTGGGGTGCTGTCAGGGCTGTCAAATATGAAAACCCAAATCTTTTTAGTTTACGAGATACGACGAGTTCCTGTGATTTTTCAGAGAGTTATCAGAAAACTCAAATTAAAAAGTAATTCACAAAAATTTGATTTTCTTAACCCTGTAGTGGGGTGCTGTCAGGGCTGTCAAATATTAAAACCCAAATCTTTTTAGTTTACGAGATACGACGAGTTCCTGTGATTTTTCAGAGAGTTTTCAGAAAACTCAAATTAAAAAGTAATTCACAAAAATTTGATTTTCTTAACCCTGTAGTGGGGTACTGTCGGAGTACTCTCGAGGGTTGTGAATATTGCCTCCAAGTTTTGTAGTTTTCAAGATATGACGTGTTTAATGATTTCTTTTTAATTTTTCAGAAATGTTATATTTTAAAAAGTCTAAAGATTTCAAGTTCCCAACGTTGTAGTTATGTTTTGTGAGGGTTCTCTCATCAGTTCTAAGTTGCAAATTTTGCGTTCAAATGCGACTGCTCAAATGCCGTTAGCTTACGAGATGTGACGTTTGTTAAGTCATTTTTTTTAATTGGTCAAAGAACTTAAATATAGAAAATTTCACAAAATTTGAAGTTTTCATCTCTACAGTGAAGCTCTGTCAGGGTTTTACCATTGGTTGCGAATTTCGCCTCGAAGTTTGACTGCTCATAATCTTTGTAGTTTTCGAGGTATGACGTGTTTTATGATTTCTTTTTTTATTGTTCAGAAAACTTATATTTAAAAAATTCAGAAGATTTGAAATTACCATCTTTGTAGTGGGGTACTCTCAGCAGTTCTAAGTTCCAAATTTTGCGTCCAAATGCGACTTCCCAGATGCTCTTACTTTCCAAGATGTGACGTTTGTTGGATCTTTTTTTTTAAATGTTCTAAGAAATCAGATATAAAAAATTTCATAATATGAAGTTTTCATCTCTTTTGTGAGTCTCTCTAAGGGGACTCCCAGGGGTTGCAATTTTTGCCTCCAAATTTGACTGCTCAAATCTGTGTAGTTTTCGAGAAAATACTCTCAAGAGCTGCAAATCTTGCGTCCAATTGCGACGGCTCATTTTTTATTATTTTCCGAGACGTGGCATTTTTTCTATAATTTAAAAATTTTTCAAAGAACTTCACAATTTTTATAAAAAAAAACTTCACTAAGTTTTATGGCTTTTCAAAGTTTGATTAAAGAAAAACTTGAATATGAAACTTTAAAAAATTTGAATTAACCAACCCTCTAATTGGGAGCTGTCAAAGTACACTCAAAGGATGCAGATCTTCTTTCCAATGTTTGCGCTTTTTTTTTGAGTTGTCAGAAATTAGAAGCACCGGAGGTGCGTTACTCGCTAGTAAATCTGTAAAATTTTCTTGTTGTTCTTGTTTGTTCTTGGCTGCATTGCATTTGGTTATCGGCTTAGTTGCCTTCCTGAATATAAAAAAAGTCAGCCGAAACAATTGTTTTCTAGGCTCATGGTCTGGACTTAAACTGGAAATTTTATGAAAGTTATGTCAAGTTTATCAACTGAACGTATTTTTAATTTTTTCTGCTCTTGGCTAATTTTTTTTGCCTTAATGCGTCATTCATTTTTTGGTAAAATTAATTCACAATCATCGAAAACCATAGCAGAACCGCAAATTTATTGAATCTTATTCTATTAACGATTAATGAATATTAAAATGTCAGCCGAAACAAGTGTTTTCTAGGCTCATGGTCTTGTACTTAAACGGGAATTTTATAAACGTTATGTCAAGTTTACCAACTCTGCGTATTTTTTTTTTTTCGTGTTTTTTTGCTCTTGGCTAACTTTTTGGCTTCATACGTCGTTTGTTTTTTTTTGGTAAAATTAATTCACAATCATCGAAACCCATAACAGAATCGGAAATTTATTGAATCTTATTCTATTAACGATTTATGAATATTAAAATGTCTGCCGAAACAATTGTTTTCTAGGCTTAAGGTCTGTACTTAAATGGGAAATTTTTTGAACGTTATGTCAAGTTTTTGAACGTTATGTCTGTTTTTATTTATTTTTTTTCTCTTGGCTAATTTTTTGGCTTCATACGTCGTTTGTTTTTTGGTAAGTGCAATTCACAATCATTGAAACCCATAACAGAACCGCAAATTTATTGAATTTTATTCTATTAACGTTGAATAGCTGATAAATTAAAGACACAATGAGAATATCAAGCATTATTCTTTCTCAGTGCTTTTTCTTCAAGCTAAACATTTTGTGGGGGCTTTGGGGAATGTTTTTAGGAAAAACAACTTTGCTTCTGCATTTAACATTAATCAGCTCTGTTTTCTTGAACTTAGAAATTTCTAGGGCGTTCTGTACGCGCAATGAGCAGAAAATCATAGATGCCCAGAAGAAATTAGACGATAGTGGCAAACCGCCGGCCTACAAGTATATGCCCCAGAACAGACCAGTATATCCGGTTAAGATCAAAGCGTGTGCTGTAGAGGACAACTCGGTGTGCTCGTGCAAGCCGACAGATGAGGATCCCTGTGGACCCGAGAGCAACTGCATGAACAGAATCACTCAGTTCGAATGTCATCCCGCAACTTGTCCCGCTGGAGCTGACAGGTTAGTAACAGTTCTGACTCCAGGTAAAAGTTTGCTAGAAACGGATGAAAGTTTGCTTGAAAAGGATGAAAGTTTGCTAGAAACGGATGAAAAATTTAATAAAACTTGAGACACTTAAAAAGATGTCCCATCCTCCGTTGTAACTGAAGCATTTATCGGTCATGTATTTATCAGGTGTGGCAACCAGAGGTTCAAGATGTTCCAGTACAGTCCTACTGAGATCTTCCGCAGTGATCAGAAGGGGTGGGGATTGAGGGCCACTGATGATATTGGGGAGGGTGTGTTTGTGGGAGAGTACTGCGGAGAACTCATCGATGAAAAGGTAAACGACGAGACTTTTTCACCTTAATAGTTAATTTTCAGTACTACGCTTACTGCAGAAAGTATAGAGTTTCCAGCAATGGTGAGACAAGGCGACTAAATAAACAATACGACTAATACGATAAGCAATTCAACTAAGTAAGCAAGACGACAATCAAATTTTTCCGCGAAGTTTATTCCGGACCAAGAAAAATTTGCGTGATCAACTCTGGTAAGTGCGCCGTGACGAAGTCCAAGACAAATGAGCTACTTGCAGAATAGGAATCCACTGTTTTGTAATAAAATGTGCTGCAGCGATGCCCATGTGATATTGAAATGTCCATGCACTACCGCTTAGACTGAAGAGCAAAAGCAAATGGCATGGCTAACAGTCTATGAACGTAGTGAACACCCTTGTATACTGGAAAAATGAAGTAACGCAGCTAGATGAATTAGAAGCCGGAAAACGACACAAAAACGTAAATTACTTCAGTTGATGAGACACCATCATAATTTCTATTTTGGTGTATTCGTCGAATTTTTTTGTGGTTATCAAGGAAAAGCGACTTGAAACCCAAAAACTGATGTCTTTTGTAAAAATACTCATTTTTCAGGCCATCATTGGAAATTCTGTTCTTCATTTTTCCAAACATTTTCGACGCAGTGCCAATGATAGTAATGTCAAAATGCAGAGTTAACAAAATCGACCCGAAGATTTTTTGTATTAAGTGGTATAAGATGAAATTTTTCCAAAATATGATATCTGAAGTAAGTTGTCATTGTTTACACAAGCAAAGCTTGTGTTATAGTATGAACTCTCTTTTTTTCCAACCTAAGCCGCAAATATTGTTGCGACAAAATGTGTTCATTTTGAAAGGAAAGTGTTCATTTTGACCAATAACCAGCTATTAAGTACAGCCAATGCTAAGGATATTAACACAGACTATTATATTACAAATAGCACTTTAGCTTCAAGGTATCATGGATCTGTAGCGTAGAGGAAGGGAAGGAGACCCGCAAAAAATAAGAGGTTTAGAACCTGGGCCGGTGTCGGATGTTTGTAATGCATTTTTTCGTGTTCTAGCTATAATGCGTCCGCTCTATAAATTGAGGCATGTTAGTTGGTGAATTTCTTTTTTTTTCAAATTGACTGGTACTGTTTACGCGTCATAATTGGCTTGAGTCACTTAGCAATTATGTAGACTCATAATTGTATGCATCACTTAAGAAATTTTGTAGACCCAAAGTTTTACTCATTTAGTTTTCCCAGTAGCGTTATCGGTCATATATTTTTGCTGGTGTATGCAAAGTACAACGTCGCTGTTGCGTTTACGGTTGTCAAGGGACCATGACGCAGATGCTAGGACGTGTGAATCTTAATCTCAGAATTGTTTTTTGTTTTACATTTCTTTTTACCGGTTTAGATATGCTTTTGCCATTTTTTTAGGTCCCGTGTTCTCTGGGTTGAGCGATATATCATATTAAAGCTTTGCAATCGTCATTCGAACCACATTTAAAAAATTTAAAAATTTTTTCCCATTGTCGAGAAAAACCGGTTTGAATTTGTTGATTATTCGTCTTGTTTCGAGCGAGAAAAATGAGCGAGCAGTCTTATTTTAATTTCTTAAAAGCTTACAATGGAATAATTTAAAATGTGAAAACTTAGTTTTACTTGGGTAACTTTCGAGTATTTTAGCGCCTTTTTGCAATAAAAACTTGAAAAAATTAATATAACTAATCCCCAGTTTTTTGTTCAGCTCCTTTTATCACACCACGCCGAAAAAAAACAATGATTTGGAAAAACTTTCTATTTTTAAGGCTATAGTCGGAATATTGTGTGCTATTTGCACAGTAACCGACTATCCTTGTTTAATTTTTACCCTCCATTTAGTTTTTTATACTAGCGTCCGTTACGATTCTTTTTTTCTAACCTAACTCGCAAATAGAAGTTCATTTGAAGTGCTCACTTATTTGGAAGTTTGACTGTAGCATTGGAAATTGCACAGCAACTGTTCTCTGTTTTAATTGTGGCTTTTGTTTAACCTTATATCTACTAAGTAGCTTCCGTGGATAGTGTGCGTGGCTCTTAATCTCTAGGTCACAGATTCGAATATCAGACGTAGCCGAATTTTCGCTAATTTGAGGCTTATTTTACCTCACCTTATAAAAGCTGATTTTTGTCGTGTTCTGGCTAGTGTTGCGATGCAAAGCTTCGCCTCTATGTTAATTTTTAAATAAATAGTTCCTGTTGTTGAGAAACGACTTTCCAATCCAGCTGAGTTGACAACTGCGGAAACGAGAATCAATAGCAATACCACACAACGCTGTTTCAATTCCGGAAACGAGAGTCAATAGCAATACCAAACGCCTCTTTTTCATTCTGATAACCCTATGGCAGCGGTTCGACTACCAGATATCACTAGTCTTTAGCGAATAACAGTATCAAATAAGAAACACTTTTTTATATACCCTGTTTTAAAAAATTTAAAAAACAGCCATACTCTTATGATTATTTCTGTTTCCCTAAATTGTGATTTATCAAATCAACCGATGATATCTCATTTTAGTGCTAACAAGGCAATTACAAGGATACATGATCGAATGAACTTCGTAAAGAATCAAAAGGAAAACTTTTTAAAATAGGGAAAGTTTCAGCCGGAAAGAACTAACAGCCACTTTCCTTAATAAAAATAGCTACAGCGTCACTTATTGGGTCTTTTTAAATGGAACAAACGAATCATCGGTCAAGATTGAAGAAAGGGTCCTGTATAAAATACAGTGAAAAAATAATGTATAATTATAACAAGGATTGTCATCGACAAAATGGCGAATTTGTGAAGCAGACAAAAATTCCGTAACTAATAATAATAATAATAATAATAATCATAATCATAATAATAATAATAAAGGATTTAGGAATATAATCCAAGATTTCGCATAAAAACCCAGTCATTGCAGTTTTCAAAGGTTAGTTTTCCGTTATAAGTGTAATTTTCTTCAGGTCTCTACAGTTGTTGCATTCGCATAAAATGCGCCAAGTGCATGTATCTGATTCGTTGTAGCGAGTTTTGGAAAACTTCGTGTACCTTCCTAGAAGTCTGTTTTTGCTTTCTGGGTCAAACAATATGTCACATTTGAAGTATTTGTTGTACAGATCAGCACGACGACATGCCCGAAACCAGAAATACGACTCGCACTTCTTCAGACGCATTTGTTTGCAGACGAAATTTCGTGTCATTTGAGCTCTTCGGTTCCCAACGTCAACTTTTCCAGCTAGTATGTTTGCAAACAGCTGTCCAACATGAAGCTCTTGGTATAGAGACAAAGGAAGGATGTTAAGTTTTACGAGTTTGTCTATAGGAGATATGGCTATTGCTTGTCATGAAAATCCACGAGATCGCTTTCCGCTGCACACTTTTTTGATTCCTAAGTCACCTTTTGATGGTTTCCAGATAGCTGAACCGTAGCACAGAATTGGCACAACGTAACAGATATATGCGTTTTTTCTGGTCGCGAAATGTGCCTTTGAGAGACTCCTTTTGAGTACGAAGAGAGCGTTTAAGGCTTTTTCATCCCTCTTTTTGCGTGTTTCGTCCAAGAGAGCGTGTCGGTTATCAGGATGCCCAGATCTTTCATTACTTCAGTGGTTTCGAATTTGCAATCGTAGCTGATCCTTTGATACAGAGGACTTTGCTTTTCGTCAGGTTCATTGACATGCAGTTTTGCTCGCACCACCTCCAAAGTCTCCTAACATCTATGTTGAGAGTTAAAGGGTTGTCTCCAACAATTTTGTAGTCGTCAGCATAACCAAATGTTGCGGACATGACACAGGACGGTAGATCATTTATGAAGACCAGGAAGAAAAGCGGCCCGAGTATAGAGCCCTGGGGAACGCCGCTGAAGACTTCCATCTCTCCGGAAATTGTGTCCTTCAGCCTCACTGTTTGCTTCCGGTTCGGCAGTTAGCTGTGTATAAGAGATAAACAATTTCCTCCAATTCCAGAAGTCTGTAATTTCACAGTGAAGATTCCGTGCGAGACTTTGTCAAATGCCTTTTGAAAGTCCGAGTAGAAGGTGTTTAGGTAGTTGCAGTTTGGCAAATCTAGGCAGCTAAATATCTCGTGTAGATACTCTATTAGGTTTGTTATCGTCGATTGCTTAGGTCTATAACCGTGTTGGTCTGGTGTTAGGGTTGTGTAGACAATTGGGGCCATTTTTTCAAATATTAGTTTCTCAAGCAGTTTTGACACTGCTGAGAGCAGGCTGATTGGCCTGTTATTTGATATGTCTTGTTTATCCCCGTCTTTGAAAATTGGTGCGATTTCGCTGACCTTCCATTTTGTTGGAAATATCGCTGTATTTGCAATCAAGTTAAACAGTAAGTGAAGTGATTTTGATAGTGACTTTGAGAGGTTTTAAGAGCATTACCAATCTTGTCTGGTTCATTGGCCTTATTTACGTCCAGCTCGTTTAGGGCATCTTCTATTTCATCGATACTGAAATTGATACTGTTCAGAAGAACGTTATCTTGTCGTTCTGTTTTGCCAACGTTGGCGTTTCGTGTGAAAACTGATTGAAAATATATGTTAAATAATTCAACTTTTTGAGCGTCTGTTTTGGCTATTTTTTGATCTAGGAAGATCTCTGAAGGGGCCGTGCTAGGCTTAGTGATCGATTTCAGATATTTTTATAAATAACTTTGTTACTAGATATCGTTTGGAAACAATTTATTATTATTATTATTATTATATATGATTTCACAGACTTCTAATTTCTTTTTAACTTAATGAAAAAAATAACCGGTTTTTTGAAGACGTAGGTAGATTCACAAATGCATATTTGATCAACTAGAAACAAAATAACCCAGAAAAAATTGGTTTTTCGGATGCTAAGCTTGAGGCCCAAAAGACCAGCAAGGGGCCCCGATAAATTACTTGAACAAGAGATACTACTAACTCAAATATTCCAACAAAAACCAAAGTTCTTGCGATTGCCTGAATCGATTCATTGTTGCCTGGGCTATAACTAATTATTGTTTTTGCGCCTGTTTGACGTGCCCATTTCGAGACAAGGTATTATTGCAAAGCTTCTTCTGATATATAATGTCTGTTGATTCTTTTGATGAACCTTACTATTTTCAGTTTTATTGAGCCGATCGCAGTTGTTTCTGAGTTTTTGCTACTTTTAAGTTTGAATTTAATTCGTGCATAACAATTTTCCAATGTATTGGAGATCAATTTGAAGAAAAAGGGGTTCATCTATCAATCGCTCATCACCCGATTCCTAGAATTGCTCATATTCTTATTTCGTTATCAATCAATCAAGTTTTTTTTCTAGCCAGTATCAACCTCCATTCTGAAAGAAAATGAATTAATTCTACAAAGGCAAACAAATAAGAAGAAAAAGGAAGCTACAAGATAAATACGAAATAACTGCTTCTAATTATTAGAAAAAGGCCGCAGTATTCATAACTTGATGGGGGAAAAATGATTAGAAACATAGCAATAACACCAAGATAAACAGAGCTCGATCATATGGGTCATTTAATTTATTTTCTGTGTTTCCCAGGAGTGTGAGAAACGCGTGAGACAGCAGAACTTGGAGCAGAACTACAACTTCTACTTCTGTGTGCTGGACAGAGACCGGGTGATAGATGCCTCCAGGAAGGGCAACCACCTCCGCTTCATCAACCATAGCTGCCAGCCCAACTGCCAAACTCAGGTACAAATTGCAACACCAATCAGGGGGGTATAGTTGGTCGGATCCAAATCATGCCGCATAGTAGATCTGCTTGCAGGACTACAGATGAAACCCTCCCCTCCTCTCATGGGAATCCATTGCCCACATGGGAAAGAGGCCCATGGAAAATATGGTAGTTGGGCGTTCGGGGTACGTCACGTTGACCTACAGTTATAAGAACATTTGGCGATAGAATACGATTAACGCTTGATTGTAGATGGTCGCCATGTTGCTGTTGGCTATTTAGCTGATTCATCACCAGTACCTTAAAGTAGCAGTCGAAAGGTCGGTAGCAAAGAAAGAAAGAAAGAAAGAATTTATTTCTTCAGACATGCAAATACCTTTACAAAAAAATCAAACAAATTAAGCAATTAAATTTTAGTAAACGTACGAATTATCTGAAGAGGATAGACTAAGGGCAAATTAGATGCCCACGAAATGTCTACCCAGTATATACTGACTGAGACATAGAACGTTAATGTGTAAATAAAGATAGTTATTTAAGCAGCAAGTATTTTTGTAAGTAACTGGAAAATTTCATATTTTTACAAAAATGGCGTTTTCTCGAAAACCAGAAATTTTCTTGAAGTTCGTGTTTTTTTTTGGGTAGAATCAGAGCTTCAGAAGGGTCTCTGATAGCACCCTGATTAAGCAGCAATTTTTGAAGAGAAAAAAAATTTTTTTTTTTCAAAATTATTTGTTAAATTTCAACCCCAGAATGATTTGTGCTCTTGCGAAACCGCCCATATGCTGTTCCTTTCCTTCGTGAATAAATGTGAAAAATGAGAATATGATCTTTTGAGGCTGGTTAGTGGTCCCATTTAAGGTTGTTTATTTAAAAAACAGATGGACCATTGGTAATGTAATGTTTCTTTTGCAGGTGTGGACAGTGAATGGGGACCAGCGAGTGGGGGTGTTTACCCTGAGAGAAATAGAGAAGAATGAAGAACTCACCTTCAACTACAACCTGGAAACACTCGGTTAGTCTCATTGAACTCATGCATTTTTACCGGGTACTAAACTTTTTTAAACTAGAAACTTTCTACTTTTTTGTCGGTTTAGTTACCGTATCACGGACTCTTTATGAAGTTTCATCTTTCTTCTAAGTTACTGAATGCCATTTCTTAAGCCCCATTGGTGGAATTATTTGAGTTGAAAGATTAAATTCATTTTTTAAAAACTTAAAATTGTTTTTTTTTAAACAAGAAGGTTTTCATTTTTTTGCTCTGTCCATTAATGTGCACGGAATTATTTCGTTCGCAATGATTGGGCTCGCGATTAGCAGCGTTATCAATTCGGAACAAAAAACGAGTCTTGTAAACTTGGCCGACAAAATCACCGAATCATTTTCTCAAATCTACACATTCGTCAACCACCAGACATTTTGAGCATGTTTGCATTTCAAATAACCGTTCTATTATTTTTTTGTTTTTAGTGTTGGTTTTAAAGTTACTAACTTCGGTTTGAAATAATTTCGTTTTTCTTGTTTTTTCTCGGCTAAAAAGTTTTTTTTTGGGTTTATACATTATCAGTTTAGTGGTATCATAATGCATCGATAGATGAGCAAAAAAAATTCCCATGCGTGTGAGTCTTTTTTTGGTGGGGGGGGGATTTGATATTTTATGAAAGGGTGTCAAGTTTTTTATGAAAAAAAAAATTGGCTGAACGGGTATCTGCTTAAAAATTGTCGGCTTTGTTTCGATACAAATTTAACTTCCAATAGTCTTTTTGTCATGTTTTTACTTAACTTGAACTTTATTCAAGACAAAAATATGAAAATTCCCGACCTTTTCGAAACTTTTTTCCGAATTTGTCTCAATAGCGACGTTTGACTCAATTTTGAGTGCTAATTTGTCCTGACAAGTTTATGTTGTATCGCAAGTGTTGCGGAGCTCTGCTTCGCCTCTAAAATTTGTCAGAGTGTTTGCTTTTAGAGAGACAATACTTCAATTCGGGAAAAGAGACCCCGTCGCAGGGATATTTAATGGCTTAATAGCATAGTAGTTTTAGTTTTTAATTTTTTTTCGGTATAGTAACTTTTTGTCTTATTTTTATATTTTTTTCGCTGTTTTGTTGAATTTGTTGAATACATATAGTTACTCAAAGAAAATGAAGGTTTTGGTAGCAGATTTTGTGTCTTTCCAGAAGGTTATCGTTGGCTTTCCGCATAGCAAGTGATGCGAACTTCCCCTTTGCCTGTGGTATATTTTTTATGGTAACTTCCCAAATGGCATAATTCCCAAATGGCATAAAAATGGAAACTTTTCCCAAATGGCATAAATTTCAAGTTTTCATTGTAATTTAAACGTTTTCTATCAATTTCTATTTCTATCATTTTGTCAGGAACGAAAGCATGTAAACAAGATTTGGAACTAATTGCTTCCAAACAAATTTAAGCAACATATTTGTCGTAAAAAAATTGACCACTAGAAGCTTATTAATAATCGCAAGCTTATGCTTCTTGCTTTTGATAAAAAGTTCTATAAGTTTTTCACGATAAAATGTCAATCAACATTTGAATTGACAATTTGACTAATTTTCTCACATTGTTCACGAAAAAATTGTTCTCGATTTTTCCAAAGCACCTGTTGCATGAAATTTATGCCATTTGGGAAATTTTTGATTTTTATGCCATTTGGGAATTATGCCATTTGAGACGTAATCTTTTTTATCGATTAAATATGGCGTCTGAAGTGCCACGAGTTGACGGCTGCAGCAACTTTTCAAGTTTTCTCTATGTTCTCAACAACAAGAAAAAAATGTTGGCTTTTGTTATGTTCGTTTCAGTTAAAGTAATTTTGTTGAAGGTGAGACCAAAATTCGCTGCTTCTGTGGCGCCCCAGCTTGTTCCGGCTACATCGGAATCAAAAACAAGCCAACAGAAGAGACACAAAACAGCAAGAAAGTACCGGGGAGACAGAAGAAAGACAACAAGGCTAAAATGGAAGGAATTAGTGACGGTGAACACGTGTGCTTCAAATGTGGCAAAATGATTGCAGAAGGTGGAGCGAAGGTTACATGTGGAAGGGCGATGTGCGAGAAAGTGTATCATTTTGAATGTGTTCAAAAAAGAGTGAATGAGTATAAAACTAAGAAGTGGAGCTGTGAACGGCATTCGTGTCACATTTGTGAAGAGTTGCACGGCAAATCGAAAGGAGTGCCGAAGAGAGCCGTCTTCAGTTGTGAAGATTGTGTAAAGGCAGCTTGTGCTCAACATGCAACAGGTTTCATTGTAGTAACTGACATGAAAACAGGGCAGATGAAATGCGTAACATGTGCTCAGAAAACATCATTAACAAATGACAAGCTTTTTAAGGGTGTAGAAATACAAAATGAAAGCCTAACTAATTCGATGGGCGAGGAAAATGAAAGAACTGACAGTGCTCGACCCATGTTAGGTCCTCATTTTACGCTGGACGAAGACCAGGACTTGGAGAGGTTGACCAGTCAGTGCATGTTGTCACTGGCGGAAAAAATAGCGGAAAAGCTGGCACAGAAACGTTCAGAGGACAATAATGGTGATCAAGAAAGTTATACTAACAGTGCGGTTGATGAAATTATCCCACTTCATGATAAGCAGAAGCAAAAGATATTTGAGCTCGGATCTGATTCAGAGACAGAGACAGAAGTGAGCGTTCTAAATAAGGCTGATCCTGAAATTGAGATCAAAACAGAAGTTGTTGCTGCAGAAATACCTGAAAAGAAAGAAAACTTAATGGAATTGGCTTCTACAGAACTCGAAAATGAAATCAGCACATCAATGGAATCATGACTACTCGACAAAGCCCACGAAAATTTATCCAGATGAGACAAGCTAACGTAGCTGAGAATAGGTTACCAGTTTTGCTCTGAAACGTCAGCTTTTTTACAATTGTCATCAGCTGAAAATATTATCAGCAGCAGAATATACATGAAAAAACTTTCTGCAACTATTTGATTGAACTGACTATTTAGGCTTTTTAATTACGTTGAATTTGATTTAAGAATTCAAGTTCGTGATTAAAACATTATCGTCCCTAGTTAAACCCTGAAAATTCCAACAACCTGCTAAAAATTTAATTTCAAGAAATTGATTTTTTTTCTCGAAGATTGATCTATCAAGCCTTTTTGATTAGTTTCATGTCATTTTTTAATGTCCAATGCAAATTGGCTTATTAATTTTTATTTATCTTGTCAATATCAAACGTTTTGTTTTTTGATGCATTCAAGTTTTGACCGTTGAGTTATTTAATAAAATATTTTGAATCATTGTTTTTGGACTAGCTAAACGGCCGCGAAAGATGGTATTACACCAACCGAGCTTTTTTGTTACGAGGTGTCCAGTCAATAACATGAGTGCGGTTAAAACGACGACTATTTCCTCGAGAACTTTTAAAATAGCAAAGGGAAGCCAAGAATCATGCGGTTTTGCTTACAACTTGAATGCTAAGCTTCTGGTAAAGATTTAACCAATCAGAAGACTAATCTTTTATATAATTTTTCCAGGAAAGTAGTACGCTCAAAGTTACTGTTTTGTGTTTTGAATTCTGATTTAATTTGAAGTATTTTTAGGGCTCACTTTTTGTTGTGAATCAGTTGTGTCATTTGATAGCTTTGTTTATAAAAAAGTTCTAAATTCTTAGCTTCGCAGCACAAACAATAATGGTCTAGAATTACAGCAAACATGCAGAAAGGTCCAGAAGGCAGCATACATAGTCCAGAAGTAGCTACTACGCCTGGACCGCAAAGGTGCAAGTTGAGAATCTGGGCGGGGCCAGTTTTCTTCGAACAGGAAGTTTTCTGAATCAAAAAAATTGTCGGCCTATTGTCTGCTTTTTTGGTCGAATTAGTGGCCAAACCATGGATATTTTTTGTTGTTAGCAACTTTCGTTTTTACTGAAAGTGTTTTTAAGTTAATTCTGAAATTTCTAATTTAATGAATCTTGTTTTTTTTTGTAATTGCCCCCTGAGATAAGCAAGGGTATTGCAACCGGGTACTAGACTTTCCCGTAAATAACTTTGTTCACAGAATGGTCAAATCATAATCTTTACTAATATTAACTATCATTATTCACTGACGAGGTAATAGTATGGTCAGGGTATTGGTAGTATGTGTCGTTTGGGAGAAATGAGATATGTTAGCTAAACTTTTCGGTGCCAAAAACTTCGGCCTTAATTCAGTCGGCTTATTTTTACCAATTTATTTTTTTAAATTCATTGATATGATAATGATTATGATTAAACCCGTGCAAAACTGAAAAAACTAAGCCAACCTCTCTTACCCTCAAATAAATCGAAAACAAAATAAACTTGAAATTTTTTTCTTTGATTTTTTTGGTGAACGACTCTCTTCGAAACCTTTTTTGTGTTGTTTGTGTAACTGGATGTGTTTATCGTGTTCCTTCTTGTGCAGGTAAATGTGTTCGTGTGTTTTTCACCTAGTTTTAATAATTTTTGTATCAGGTAAATGTGTTCGTGTGTTTTTCACCTAGTTTTAATAATTTTTGTTTCAAGTTTCGTCAACAGCTAATTCTTTTCTTTGTCTTCAATGCTTGTTAACTTGATTTGTTCTGGAAGTTAACCGTTTTATTTGATGTAATTGGGATTCAGCAAGTATCAAGTGTTACTAATTGCACAAACATCAGTGCAATTTTTTTTTTCAAATATTTTTGTGCCAAGTTTGTGGAAGAATTTTTCGTTTTGAAGTTTCATATTAAGTTTGCTTGCGCTATTTTTCCCAATTAACATGTTTTAAGTATATAATTCTGCATAGCTTTAACAATTTAAAGCAGCATAGCAGTACCATTTTTTGGGTTACTTTTTTGTGCTATGGTCATCAAGATTACAGACACAATGATCCTTACGGAGCTTAAAACTTCCAGAAACGTTTCTCCTGATTGAACAGGAGTTCAGATTTTTTCACGCTACTCGTCAGAAGAAAAACTGAATTGATTTCGATTCTTTTGCCTACAGAAAATTCAGGAATTAGAAGTTTTCTTGTCAATATAACAGCCTCCAAATACTACCCCCATATCACGTGCTCGTGGACATTGAAATGTCGTTGCCCAACGTTTGTTTTTTGAAACACCATGTCAAATCAAATCCATCCATTTTTTATTGGCGTTTCTCTTGACGTCTGTTGAAGAAATCCCTATGATGACCTGTTTAAACTTTTTCAACGTAATCTTTTTTGCATGTTTAACGAAAAAACTTTGCACGTTTAAGCTATATCATTTATTGTAACACTTGAGAAATTTCACTCGGCACTTATTGAAGAAGTCGCTAGGTTGGTCTGTTAAAAAGCCAAAAACATTGCAAGGGCTGAATTGTTCAATCAAGTCGACGTTTGAGCTTCAGCTGGAGCGCGAATGCTTTAACTATATTTTTCCTGTATTCGAAACAAAACTATCAAAATTTTTATTTCACAAGATGTTTAAGTTTTAATTATTCTCAACCCTATAGTGGGGTGCTGTCAGGATACAACCAGGGGTTGCCAATCTGGCGTCTAAGTACGACCCCTTAATTTTTTTTTTGACTTTCGAGATATAGTGGTTTTTATGATTTTTTAATTTTTTTTCGAAAAACTCAGATTTAAAAAGATTGATCGAACTTGAAATTCTCAAGCCCACAGTAGAGTGCTGTCAATGTACACTCCGGGCTTGCAAGAATGGCGTCCAAGTATGACTGCTAAAATCCTTTTAGTTTTCGAGATTTGGTGTTTTTTTCCATCATTTTCAGTTTTTTTTTTAAAACGTGTAAACAAAACTAAGCGAACTTGTGAAATTCTCAACCCTATAGTGGGGTGCTGTCAGGGTATATTCAGCGGTTGTAAAGCTGGCGTGCAAATGTGACTGCTCAAATTTTTTTGGTTTGCGCGATATGCCGTTTTTCAATGTTTTTTTTGTAATTCCTGTTTGATGTATTAAACAGGTATTATGAAAACGATTTTTTTTTCCAGATGAGATCTGGTTTTTTTTTTTTTTTTTTTTTTTTTTTGAGACGCTTTTTCGAAAAATTCGCTTTCCCAAAAAAACTACCCGTCAGATTCTCTTAAAAATGGTACCAATGGATTCAGTAGCGTTTCACCTACCTGCCTGCATGAAATTTAGGGCAATTTTTACCCTACCCCACCCCCTACGGTCTTAGAAAAGCTTCACAACTCGGTACTTTTTTCACTTTTTGCCCATTTTTTCGGAAATTTTCGATTTTCTCAAAAACTACCCGTCCAGATTTGGGATTAAGGGTTTAATCGATAGACCAGGTTGTAGGAAACTCCCATGCACAAGCGGCTGGTCCCTAATTTGCTTAGGGGAAGAGCTATAAACTTAGGAAAAGTCACTTTTTTGATTTTTTTGCCTATTTTTTCGGAAATTATCGATTTCCTCAAAAACTACCCATCCAGATTTGGAATTAAGGGTTTAATCGATAGACCAGGTTGTAGGAAACTCCCCCGCACAAGCGGCTGGTCCTTAACTTGCCTAGGGGACGAGCTATAGACTTAGGAAAAGTCACTTTTTTCATTTTTTTGCCTATTTTTTCGGAAATTATCGATTTCCTCAAAAACTACGCATCCAGATTTGGAATTAAGGGTTTATTCGATAGACCAGGTTGTAGGAAACTCCCCCGCACAAGCGGCTGGTCCTTAACTTGCCTAGGGGAAGAGCTATAGACTTAGGAAAAGTCACTTTTTTGGCCTTTTTTCAAATCTTTCCGATTTCCTCAAAAACTACCCGTCCAGATTTGGGATTAAGGGTTTAATCGATAGACCAGGTTGTAGGAAACCCCATGCACCAGCGGCTGGTCCCTAATTTGCTTAGGGGAAGAGCTATTGACTTAGAAAAAGTCACTTTTTTCATTTTTTTGCCTATTTTTTCGGAAATTATCGATTTCCTCAAAAACTACGCATCCAGATTTGGAATTAAAGGTTTATTCGATAGACCATGTTGTAGGAAACTCCCCCGCACAAGCGGCTGGTCCTTAACTTGCCTAGGGGAAGAGCTATAGACTTAGGAAAAGTCACTTTTTTCATTTTTTTGCCTATTTTTTCGGAAATTATCGATTTCCTCAAAAACTACGCATCCAGATTTGGAATTAAGGGTTTATTCGATAGACCAGGTTGTAGGAAACTCCCCCGCACAAGCGGCTGGTCCTTAACTTGCCTAGGGGAAGAGCTATAGACTTAGGAAAAGTCACTTTTTTGGCCTTTTTTCAAATCTTTCCGATTTCCTCAAAAACTACCCGTCCAGATTTGGGATTAAGGGTTTAATCGATAGACCAGGTTGTAGGAACCCCCATGCACCAGCGGCTGGTCCCTAATTTGCTTAGGGGAAGAGCTATTGACTTAGGAAAAGTCACTTTTTTCATTTTTTTGCCTATTTTTTCGGAAATTATCGATTTCCTCAAAAACTACGCATCCAGATTTGGAATTAAAGGTTTATTCGATAGACCATGTTGTAGGAAACTCCCCCGCACAAGCGGCTGGTCCTTAACTTGCCTAGGGGAAGAGCTATAGACTTAGGAAAACATGAAAACTTGAAAACTTTTTACCAAAGCGTTACCAATGAATGCATAAGCTTCTCTTTCACTTTTTTTGCGTAGGAAGGGCGCTATCGACTTGAGAAACCTTAAATTTTAAAACAATTTTAAAATAATCAATATTAAAGAAATCAAACAGGTCTCTCCAGCTTTCAGCTGGGCCCCTAGTTTTGGTGTAAAAAGAAATTAACGGAACTTGGAAATCTCAACACTAGGGTGGTGTGTTGTTAATCTACACCAGGGTTGCAATTTTTCCCTCCAAGTGTCACTGCGTTTTAGGAAGCTCTTTTTCGTACAACGATCTATTTGGAGCACCAGAGGTGCGAGTCATGCGCTAGTTTTAATAAATTATGTTGCTTTTTTTTTAATTGTATTAAAATCCTAGTAATTTTTGTTTGGTTAAATGCCTAATGGGTTAATCGAAGGCTTTTTTGTTCTTTCTTCTTTTACTTAAAATGTATAAAATTGATTTTATATCTTTTTTCCTTAGAAAATATTGTTTTTTTGAATTTTTTTTTGATTTACAAAAAGTAACATTGCTTGTCTCATGAGCAATTTAATGCAGTTCAGCCAATTTAGTTAGGTTTGAACTAAAATTGATAATCATAAGATTTTTATTTGCCAATGATTAACAAATTCGCAAAGCAATCTTTTTAATTACTCTTTCTATCTTTCTGTTTACTGTATCGCTAGTGGTGCGAAGCTCCGGTTCGCCTACGTGTTTCAACTTTTAT